TTTTGTTTTTTTGAATGTCCAGAGGACCAGATTTAACCTTTTTAGATGTTCTTGAATCTGTTTGTTCGTGTTCTGATGCACCTGTAGCGCTTCCCTGAAGGTAGCAAGTCAAACAGTTCAAAACCCGGGTGTGAACAGTCCATGATTATGTTTTCTGCTCTGTTGAGGCAGCGTGATGTGTAAATGTCCATCAGGGAGGGGAGCGGGCAGCCAATTATCTTTTGTGCTGTCTTGACTACTCTCTGAAGCCTCTCCCTGTCAGCCAGGGTGCAGCTGCCGTACCATACTGAGATACAGTATGTCAGCAGGCTCTCCATGGACGAGCGGTAGAAGGTCAGCAGCAATTTTGTGTTCAGGTTGTGCTTCTTAAGGACTCTTAAGAAGTGTAGTCTTTGCTGAGCCTTCTTGATGACCGCTGTGGTGTTCTCTTTCCAGTTTAGGTCAGCAGAGATATGGACACCAAGGAATCTGAAAGTGTGAACCCTCTCTCTCCACGCACTCGCCATTGATGTAAAGGGGGTCTAGGTTGGTGCTGTGCTTCCTGTAATGTAGGTCAGATCATCCCTGGTGCATCCTTACATTTCTATGCTGACGACACAGTTGCTTATTGTCGAGTTAGAACTGTTGCTAAGGTTTTCCAGCTTCTAGTCTGCATTCATCATCATCCAGTCGGATTTGTTTTGTCTCAAATTGGTGCTAAATGTTGACAAAACCAAAAGGATGTTTTCAAACAGGAAGTCGGTCCCAGCAGTTCTTCCTTCTATCTTATCTATGAATGGTGTTCCTGTTGAGTTTGTCGATTCAGTAAGAGTACCACTGACTGCAGCTCCTTGCTACAAGATGGCCGCTAATTGCCACCAGCTGTCAGCCATCCCCCTGATGAGGATCCACACTACTTAAGGCTGCAGTCCAGTGATACTCTTTGCTGGAGCATGAGCCTTCAATGGTTCTTGTGCCTTCGACCTGTATATTTAAATCTACTTGCCTGATCTCTCTTGTCTTTAGTTATCCAGTTTCCTTGGTCCTGGTTCTCCCCGGTCCAGTCCTGGTTCTCCCTGGTCCTGTCTTAGTTCTCCTTGTGCCTTAATGCTTCCACCTCAGTCCCGTCCGACAACTCTGGCTTCTCATCCCTGGAGCTCCCTTTTTGGATCTGTGCCCTCGCACCTCATCCAGCCTGTAAGAGAAAACATTCGTCAGATTAATATCTCGCCTAAATCACACAGCCGGACCCACCTGATCATCTCCTCCCTCCCCAGGAGCTCCAGAGGATCAACTTATGTTTTTCACTGTAAATAATAAACACCGTTATCTTTGCAATCCCTGAGTCTTGTCTCGTTCTGGGTCTCGTAGAACTCTGGGTTTCCTGAGTCGTAGCAAATTCTTACAAATACTTGCGTATTTTGGTCGATCTTTCAAGCCTCATGTTGAAAACTTGGTACGCAAACTGAAAGTTAAACTGGGTTTCTGTCTCAGAAACAGATCCTAACTCTGAATCAATCAACCTTTATTTATACAGGTAAATCCCATTGAGCCTCGAGGACTCATTTACAAGAGAGACCTGAAAGTTAGGAAACATCTTGTAACTGACTTTCCTTCCCTCCATTGACTACGGTGACATTATTTACATGAACGCTCCTGCAAGCACCCTGCAGATGTTGGACACTGTATCACGGTGCACTCATAACTGGCTGTAACTGTTGTACCCACCACTGCACCCAGTATTCACTGGGTAACTGGTTTCATCTTTAAATCCCTTCTTGGTCTGCTGCCTTCATACAGTTTATCTCCTCCTACATGTCATTGTGTGAGTGCAGCTACAGCATGCACTCTCAGGACATCATTACCTGCAGCGTCCTCTCAGTACGGACTGATTTCAGCAAAAGGGCCTTCTTCTACTCCGCTCCTGTTTCCTGGAATATCTTGCAAAAAGATCTGAAGTTGTCAACTTTGACCTCTCTAAGGGATTTAAAAAAATTAAGTTCATGGCAAAAACCAACACAGACATGTTCCTGTTTTTAGTATTTTAACCCGTTTCATAATGTATCTCGTTTTTATTTTGTTTTATATCACTACTTTTATTTACTTTTCATTTTATATGCTTTTTATGGCTGTTTATTGTTGTGTGTACCTCATCTGCTTTTTTTTTTATTTTTAAACAGATCTCTGTTGAAAATGAGTCCTCGTGACTCAATGAGACCAACTTGTATAAATAAAGGCTGAATTAATGTGAGTCTCATAAACTTTACATGAATGGCAGCATTTCAGAAAGCGATGCACGATTTACTGAAATAATTTAAAGATGCAAACAGATTAAAACAGTTATTCCATATGCTGCGTGATGAGAGCGGTCTCAAAAAATACAGTTATTAAACGTTTAGCGTCGTCTTTGTGGGAGTCTGTGTTTATTTAGAAATAATCACTTTATTGGGATTTAACATGAGACTGAATGAAAACACAAAAGGGGTTTCATCTTTTTGGGAAACTTCTTTTTCTTTTTGGATTATTTGCATAGAAACAAGTGACTAAAAAGATCTGTCTTATCTTATATTCAAATAATTTCAGTGAAGCAGTGACGAGTCCAGGGCTTCGTGTGTGTGGTTCACTTGGCCTTTCTGCAGAACGTGTGCGATGCTTTTGTGCGATGGGGTTCTTTATTATTGCGATGGCTCTGTAGGCTTGGGGGGTGGAAATACAACCCACCATCTGTCCTTTGTACTCAAACTATTGTCTTTCAAACACACACTCCTTGTCATGACCTCTGAACGCACCACGCTGTCATCTGAGGAAATCAGTCAGCTTTGTTTTATTGAAGGAACTCCAGTTAAAACAAATCTGACGTTAAAGTTTGTTGACTGTTATCTAGTTAGGAAGTTATCTTTGTTTCTAATGTCTTATTATAAACATTTGCAAATGTAAAAAAAAAAAAAATAAGGAAAAAAGGACCAAGTGATTCTTGAATCCAGTTTTAAAACAGGACAACCTACCAATCAGAAGAAGAGGAAAAACAAAACATAAATTATGTCTCAATTAAATCTGTTTTTGTACATGTTTGTTTGTTAAGTGTTTGTGGGGAAACGCCCAGCAGCCAAATGACAGGAAGAGGTTTCACCGCTCAGCCAAAAGCCACTTTTTAGACAAGTTACAGCAATGAAAACAAACCTGACCGGAAATTAGTTTCAAAATAAGAGCACCAAAACTTTAAAAAGTTTGACTAAATTTGATGTTTCTGCATACATTTGTAAGTTGTGTTATGCTTGGGCAGAAAAAAGAGTTTCTATTAATATTATTAAACTTTTGAAACTCAACAGTTGTAGTTGTAAGGCAGAAAAACTTATAGATTAGTAAATTCCCTATAGTGTCTTATATGCACTGTTTTGTTTATGTGCTGCCAGTAAATTGCTAAAGAATCAGATTTTTGCTTTCTAAAATGGTATTTCTGCAAAGAGATGTGGATAGACAAATAGATTAAAATGTAGTTCACTTTAATTGTGGTATGTCCTTGGTTCTGGTGACTAAACGCTCGTCTTTCAGTAAAAGTTCCCAACACGCTCACACATTCAAAGTAGAAACAGTTTTAACCTTTTTGTTGCGTTTATCTGTCCGTTTGTTTCTTAATAAATCAATCAGACACATTTTGTTGTACAAACTCGTTTTATGAACATGTTCGTGATTGTAGAGCAGTGGCTCCAGAACTGTTCTTCTATCCTCAAAGAAATAGTGGCAGAGCTTTGTAACTGTGCAAAAAACAATATTAAACAATGTTGAAAGCACAATATAATCATCTGTTGCTATGATACTTTTATTGATTTATTAAGATTGTACGTATTAATTTTTATTATTAGATATGGCGAGAATATGCTATTACCAATCTTATTACACTTAATTTGATTTCTGGAGCTTATGTGGTGACCCTCACCAGATGTTTCATGACCCAAAGTGGGAACCCCAACTTTGGGAACTACTGCAGTAGACATGAAAGTCTGTAAATAATTCTACCAGTAATGTTGTATTTTACCTTAATTCAGTGTTTGAATCTCAGATTTGAATTCACAAATTCCTGCCCAGTCAAACTTTAAGAATCTCCCTCTTGTGCAAATATGGTCAATGCAGGTAGCAGTAGCGAACAATCAAGATTAAAATAAAAGCTTGCAAAATAATACCATACCATACCAGCTTATTTATAAAGCTCTTAAAACAGCAACAAGGCCAACCAAAGTGCTGTGCAGCAAAAACAAAACAAGCAAAGGACATAAGATAAAATACATACATCCAAATAGATAATGATAAGAGCTAAATTGCTAAACGTTATAGAATACAGAAAAGTTAAAATCAACTCACACAGTGTTAAAAGCCTGGGAACAAAACTGAGTTTTTAAACGAGACTTAAAAATAGTAAGTGAAGGAGCCTGCCTGACATGTAGTGGTAACTCATTCCACAGTTTTGGACCTGCAACAGAGAAGGTTCTGTCACCTCCGAGCTTAAAACGAGTGCCTGGAACCAATAAAAGCATCTGGTCTGCTGACGTCATATGGCTGCAGCAGATCGGCGAGACAGGAGGGGGCAGAAATGCTCAGAGATTTAAAAACACACAAAAGTATTTTTAAATGAATTTGAAAGTGAACTGGGAGCCAGTGAAGGGAGGCCAATACTGGTGTAATGTGCTCGCATTTACCTGTACCAGTTAAGAATCGGGCTGCTGCATTTTGCAACAGAGGTCTGACCGATTCAAAGTAGATAAAAATAATTAATGTAGAATATCTTCATTTATAGAATAAACGTTTCGAAATTAAAATATTGAGCTGAAACGTTTTAAACATAAATTTAATTTAAAAGAAAAGAAAAAAAATCCACAAATCATGTATCAAAATGTGTGCTTTTATTTTTTGTACCGGCATACCGGAAGTCGCCTTTCTTCTTCGGTTACCTTAACATGGCGTCGCTGCTGGTCGCCTCGAGCACGTAGAGGGAGCCACGGCTGTTTCTCGGTGTGTAGCGCGAGGCGAGGTTCTGTTCGCTCCCCGTCCGGTTCCCTGTAATTACAAGCAGTCGGTGAGCAGTCGGGACGATGAACGGTAAATCGGCGAACGGCACGGCGGGAGGGATGGCCTGCATCGAGGGTCTGCCGCCGCTGCCGAAGAGCCTGAGCGGGCTGCTGAACTCGAGCGGCGGCTCGTGGAGGGACATGGAGCGGCTGTACGTGAAGAAGACCATGATCCAGGACGACCTGAGCCGAGGCAGGAGCTCCGGCGACAGCCTGCTGGCCAGCAAGCCGGCCAACCTCGACGCTGCGCTGGCTCTCCTACGGAAGGAGATGGTAAATGTTTTTAAACGAGTGTTTTTTCTCCTCCGCAAGGAGCCGTTTAATCCTCGCGCAGCCTGACTCGTAGAAAACAAGTGGTTCGGATCGTCTCTGGGGTAAACTGCGTATCGATTATAAATAAATGATTAACTTTCAGAGATATCGCTCTGTTGAATACACATGGAGCAAACAAAGCATGTGAGGAGCTTCATTTAACTGGATGCAGGAGAAGATCACTAAAATAAACCTCATCTTCCTCATAGGCACGAGGAACCAGCTCTGTATGAGGTGCCGTTTGTAAAGTTAGTCTTCAATTAACAACAATATTTTGGTTTATTTAGCCTTTCATAAGAAAAAAGTTTTTTTTTCAAAGTCATATTTTCACCACGTTATTCATACATTTGTAAATGTCATCATTACAAACTAAATATTTAATTTCCAAGCTAAATATTTATAGTTTACAACTTAAATACTTCACTTGCAAGTTAAATATTTAGTTTACAACTTAAATACTTCACTTGCAAGTTAAATATTTACTTAGCAAGCTAAATATTTAGTTAGCTCCACACTAAATATTTAGTTTACAAACTAAATGTTTATGTCC